GGCCCGTTGCATCCCCTAAATTTTATCCGGGGCTCTCAGCGTGCGAATTGATATCAATGAAAATTAATTAATATATCGACGTTCCAACGCGCGATTAACGTTAAGCGCGCCGAGTGAGGATGCTTTACGTTACGACGATTTTCGCGATGAGCCGTTATCATTTTGTCACGTGGTATAAGAAGTAATCGCGATACCAACCCCTGGTAGGAGCAACCCGTCCGGCCCCTCCGGTATTATTATAAAGTAGACGCGCCTAAACCGTGATTGCGAACCTCTGAGAATCGGCGTGCACATCTGGCCGTGGGACGTGGACGCCCCAGGACATGGGAGTCGGGTAAAGTATAAACTATGGGGTGCCACCCCCCAGGAGATGGCGAAATAGACGAGAGGGTGTACGAGAGTGGCAGTAGGTCTGCGCAGGGTAGGTCGGCGGTACTAGTACCCGTATCCGCACGTAGGTAATATCCAAGGGGTTGGCCTCTTCCACGTTGCTTGTGCCGAGCATAACGGCGCCGTGCACGTCAGTCGTGTATACTATTATATTCGCATCCTCTTCCTATAGCATAGAGGTATATATGTATTTATGTGCCTGTGTGTATATATATATATATATATATATATATAGAAAGAGAGCATCGTCATATCTCGGTAGCTACGAAATGCGCAAAGGGTTGCTAAAAGCCGCCGTTCGCCCTAATAGCTAATGGGCTTTTCCCCATGTCGAGCGTTTCGGATACGGCGCACGTGTCTTCGCCGACCGTTTCGAACGTTCGTTGCGCGTAAAGAAAGGAGAAAAATATAATAATAAAACTGCCGTACTTGGAGCACCGTGATAATAATTTCGATCTTAGAAATATGCATTATGACTTGCATTCAAGAATTTCGCAGTTTACGCCAGTGCGTGCTCGCTAATGAGTCTCCATTAAATACGGGAAGCAAATGAAAATGAGGGAGAAGTAGCGAGGGGGGGGAGGAGGAGGAGGAGGGGGCCAGAGAGAGAGGAGAGAAAAAAGAGAGCCTACCGCGACACCATCACCTGCAAGGGGTGGTCTTCCCTGCAACCCACTGTGTCGCAACAGCCCCTTTTCTTATGGGTTTTCAATTACACTCGTGCTTTTCCTGCATTTCCTTCTGCCCCCCCCCTCTCTCTCTCTCTCTCTTCTTTCATCGTTTCTGCTTTCCTCTTTCTTTTTACTTCGCTCTTTCAAACGAACCCTCGTCTCCCTTTTTCTTTGCCACCTCTCGCCTTCGCAATCTATTCACAACGAACCAAAACCAGCAAACATCTAGCGATTTTTACCACTCGCGAGATACACCGACCAATTACGCGTCGGGGATATATGTATATATATATATACGACGTGGGGTGAATTCACCGCCTACAGATACCTTGCCTACCTAGATTATATACGTAGCTACAGGTCTTGGGCCGTGGGAAGGGTTTGGTAATAAAAAAGAAAAAAAAAAATAGAAGAAAAACCTCAAAGGAAGAGAGGGGGCAGGGGGACGGGAGGGATGGGGGGGGCGGTGGTGAGAAAAAAGGAAAAGTAATTAAAAGCGAACGAGACGCCTCCGGGAGTGGTGGACCACGAGCGTTTCCTCCCTTCCAACTCGCCGTTCGGTTTATCATAATAAAACCATTTTAACCAGACAAGTGAAAGAAAAGAAGAAAAAAAAGCTACCCCCCCCTCTCTCGACGATACCCAGTAGATATTTTTCCAGTTAGTAGACAAAAACAAACTTACCAAGTTGCGTCTGATGAGCTGGAGCTGGCGCTGGTCTGACCTTGTCCGGAGGACATCTTCTTGTAGCGGCTACAGTGGCTGGCAGGGGGATGCTCGTACCCCCGGGACCAGTGCCAGGTCCGCCGACCCCCGTCTGTTTGTTGTACGGCGAGGGTAGTCTGAAACAACATTACCAGGAATTAATAATGTAAACTATCGTCATAACGCGTGTACGTGTGCCCGATGAATATAGGCATTTAAAACACGGGTAACGTTATATCGGCGGGAATTTTCTGCGCGTGCCGTAAAATCCAGCCCCCCCCCCTGCCCGCCAGCGAATCCCCGGTTTAAAGTATTCGCGGGTAATTGAAGTTGCGCCAGTGCAGCCAACGGTTTACAGTGAAAGCTGGGGTATCGGCGGTTTGTACAGGCAATTCCTGGATGTTGAGATACCGCGAATTCCATGACGTTGTTTACAGACGCTCGGGCACGCAAATAGACCGTTCGGCCGTGTTGATATTAATGATCGCCAGCGAGGCTGATTATGGTGGTTCGAGAGTGACAAAAGAAAATTTCGAATTCGAGTATCGACAGCTACGCAGGACCTTATCAAATTGTCATCTGTGTACAGTCCGCTGTACTTATTTAGGACGGTCTAGATATTCTAGAAACTATATATGTATATACACTGTAGGTTTAAAAGCGCTGTACTGACACTGTCCAGCAAATACAACTTCTAGTTAGGAGTTAACGGGGTCCCCATGGCGTAGCGAAGTTATATTACACGGTGTAAATATTTAGTCTTAAGTAAGCCATAGTAACGGCGGTCCCGGGGTGCCTTCCGCAAAGGAACCCGTTTTAGTCGAAAAGGCCACTTCGGGCGTCACGTGTCTCGAGTAAATGGGATCCAGAAACCACAGCCAGGAGAGACGTAAAACTCGCTGAATCGTCAAGGGACAAACAAAGGACATATACGGGACGTGGATAGGAGGTACGAGAGAGCGAGAGAGAGAGAGAGAGAGAGAGCAAGAGCAAATGCAGGTGTACCTGGCAACACTCCCACCAGACCGTTCCCAAAAACTCCCCGACATCCCGTTCTGCTTGTGAAGAGGCAGGACGAAGAAAAAGATAAAAGGACAAAAGTCTTATTTACGATTCCATACCAGTTTATAATACCACAACCCACGTTCTTAAACCATAATGGTATTGTACCACCATGATAAACCGTCCTGGCACACCTTGCGCATTCTTCCTCTGACAAAGCCTCATGAAAAACAAGCACAACACAGACCAGATAACCCAAAAGTATATGGGACAGTTTTAACTATGAAATATTAGGATAAAATTGAAATTAATAGAAGGCAAAAGATCATGGAAGTTCGAAAAGGAACAAAAATTATTCTCAAACGTGTATATGCCACGCGGAGAGAAAAACAAAAGTACCAGCCCCCCCCCCCGCACCAGTCTATGGGGTTTAGATAATTCACAAGCCGTCTGAAATCGACCTAAAACGTATATATAACCCCATGACAAAAGAGTTTCAATTTCGCCGTGGAAACCATGACACCTCGCGCGTGATAGCACGAGGCGAATATTTACGATGCAATTTTACGAATTTATGGTGTCTGATTTCCTTTAGGTTTGTCTCCCCGTTATCCTTCCTTCTGCTTCCTATATCCCTATCTCTCAAAGTCTCCATGGTGTTTCACTCGAGTGTCACGGGACACCCAACTTCTTTACCTACGACCACCATAAACAATTCCACTACGCATTTCCCTAATACTTTAAGCCAAACGTCCCTCAAACTTCACTAGCGGTAAATACCATCGATAAAAAAAAACCCCATAAGTTTCGCAATACATACCCACTGCTCAACAACAGACGCGCACGTATCCAGACGAGACAATGAAATAGAGTCCTACGGATCTGTATCTGAGGGATAGCGCATAGAGGGGGGAAATTTTACTAATTACCTGCATGCTCACCAGCAACTCCGCCCAAATACCCATGGCACGCACGTATGGCCGTGTGCCTCGCTCTATACCGCAACGTACGAGGAACGTGCCTGAAATTCCTGGGCAGGATGGGAATCCTGATACATGGAACACGATTCCCAGGCTTAAGGCGCGTTCGTAACTGTCGTCAGTGTCTATTGTCATCAATAGCATAAACACAATGAGTGACGCACAGTCACGTGCTAATTATATCCAAACAATCGAATACCAAGAAGACCGTCTTATGTTCCAAGCCGTAACGTGGCTACGCGATACCAGTACCCAGACGCACTGCAGTAACGACAGTCCAAAGGATGCACGTAAACGTAACCGTGAATGCGCCGTGTAATTCATTCCGGTAATTAGGGATAATTGCGTGTGATACCTTGAGGGTAGTTCGCGGTCCGTCTAATGCGTCCCTGGCTCCACCCGAGCCATAAAGTATGCGGCTGGCGCATACATAAAATGCACAAACGCGTACCGTGTATCCACCTTTCCGCCTAGCGGACTCGACCGGTGGCATTAGGCGCTAGATAAATATAGATAGTTTTCACGGAAAGGACTGAAAGTAGCCGAGTGACTCAGCGGGACTCCAGTGTCTTTACCGCTTTTCAAGATAAGACGATGTATATCGCGGGCCAAGGACAATTTTTAGTACGTTACGCTCGACGTTCGTCGCGTTCGTGAATACGCGTCAGAAGTCTTGGACGGCGTCGACGTTACAATTGGCGAAAGTTCGTGGTCGCGGCTTCCGGCGATGTGTACAAGGTACAGTGGGCACGTGGGTGCAGGGAACTAGTACTGTACGTACGTGTAAGCCGTAGGGAGAGGCGGTGGATGAGGAGATATATGTATATAGCAAGTCGCAATTTCGACCTCGGGCAAAATTCTATTTCCGCGGCCATTCACATCCAAAACATTGACTCACGCGATGTCTTTGAACTCCTTTGGCTAAATGAAGAAGACCCGGTGAAATAATCGTGCGGGTCGCAATAATAAATCTGGCCTCGAGGCACTGGCAATGAGTAATAGAAAAAAAAAGAGAGAGGGAGAAAGAAATAAGCAGATGATACGCTCGGGGAGTAGCGGGGGAAGAGGAGAGAGAGAGAGAGAGGGAGGGAGAAAGAGGGAGAGAGGTAGATAAACGAAGAACATAAAAAGATAAAAGAAATAAAAAGATAGAACGAGAGAAAGTACGGCTACGTCGCCATGGCTCCACGTGGTGTACGGAATGACGGCACGAGACTCCTACGTTGTATCCAGGAACAAAGGCGAAGTCCAGTATACATACGTATGAACGTTGCTGCGGTATGATTATAGTTTTACTTCTTTTTCACTTTCTCTCTCTCTCTCTCTCTCTCTCTCTCTCTCTCTCTCTCTCTCTCTCTCTCTCTCTCTCACGCTCTGACTTCGTTCCATAGGAAACAAAAAGTCGCTGACTGCACGGCGTGTTAACTGTGAATGAGCCTGTACGCTAATATATACACGGATCGTTTCCACGTGTGGAAACGATTGGTTGCAGCAGCAAATCGAACAAAGGGAATCGAGGATGCTTCGAGCATTCCTTGGGGCTGCTTTACAAATGTAATATCATTCGATCGGCAAAATACGTTCAATTGGACGATTCAAGAGCGTACGTATACGGATGCGTTGTAGGGGTAAAGACCCATTCAAAAGTATGTATCGCGAGTATAGTAGAATAAAGGTGTAGCGCGCGCGCGCTGATGAATTTACAGATTGAAGCCACGTAAAGACGCGAGTACCGGTCCTCCCACTGGATAATCAGGTATAGTTTGTACTAGTTTGCAAATCCTCGATATATATATATATATATATATTTACTGGGAATCGAACGACTAAACCCGTAGAGAGTTTGCCTGGAAAATAGCATAGCCTTTTATCAGGTCGTTATTAGATAGGTAAATAATCCACGTACTGTATGTATGTACCGGAGGTGTCCAAATGACTTCACTGTGACCCACCGGTGATTTCATTTGTCGCCGAGTGTCAAACAGACCCGTTTGGCAGCTGGATCGAATAATTAAATATCGTCTGGGAAGCAGGGTCAACTAAAGTTGCCATAGAGCAAGGCCTCGTCTTTGCACTACGTACAGATAAGGGGATCGAAGCCGATACGAGACACGTCACGGGGTTTTGTGGAAGCGCATCTACATACCCCGAGTGTCAGGTCCTTGGAAAATTTCCTTTGAGAAGGCAAAGAACGTGTTAAACGACCTGCGGTAAGGCCCAACCGGTCCGGGCTCTCGGAGAAGTATAGTCAGGGATCTGGTTTGCATGTTTTTTTTAAATACTCCACATAGACAGTCCTTCCACGCCGAGGGTTTTGCGCTCGTGTGTGATCGCGATAGGCCGATGGTGCGAATTGCCAATGGGGTAAGTAGAGAAATGCATATTTATGTATCCTACGTGTATACGCATCCTTGTAATGCAATTTTGGATACGTGCATGCATGCGTGACACATGACGTGTTTACGAATATGAGTACCTGTGCGCTTCCGGAGAATTCGGCAGGCTGCGAGCCTTCCTGCTGCCACTTCCGCTGCTACCGCTGTTTCCCATTTTCTTTTGTTTTTTTTTTGTTTTTTCAAATAACTCCCACTGATACGCGTCTCTTCTTTGTTTGCAAAGAAAAAGATAACAAATATTCACACGCGCACGAGAATCGCGGCCGACTCCAGCACCGTTACGATATGTTTGACGATCGATCGGCGATCGATCGGTGATAAAGGTGCACTCCCGCGAACAACAATCACATGTAGATATGTCGAAGAATTCAGCAGCGCCCCAAAAAAAGGAGCCAAAGGAAAGTAATCAACGCATCTCGTACGTCAGTCCAGTTAGAGGGAGTGACGAGACAACATTTTCCTTGTATTTCGCACTCACGAACGTCACACGAGCGAACGAAGACTTGAATCCGACAAAACTGAAATCACGTTTTCACCGTAAAGAATGATAAGCGCGCCCGAAATTATTTTCACAGTACGTAGCCGAGCGGTCGAACGGTACACGTGCGAGCGCGGCATGGAAAGAAAATACAGAGAGACAACGATATAGAGCGAACGCGTGAGAGAGAGAGAGAGAGAGAGAGAGAGAGACGGACGGAGAAAATAATAAAAAAAAAATACACAAGGTAACGTCAAAATGATAGAATAGCGTAGCGCCTTATGGCGAGCGAAATGCCACGATCATGGTGTGGCCATGGTGTAGGCATCCTTGATGGCCCGATTCGAACTGAAGGGAACCATGGAACCATATTCCCATTCCCATAGCACGTGGGCCTGTCTCTCTCAGTCACCCCAGACGCGATAGCCTCGCCGACTGCGTTACTCCTCTCGCACTCGCCAGGATCGTTCGTATCCTCTCCCTTCCTCCACGAGCGTTATCCCCATCCAGCCGAACACCATGGAGAGATCCCGAACGCTCTATCTTTCTCATGGGCGCAGCTTCCCCCGTTTTATTACGCGAGAGCCAATGAGAGCGACGAATTCCCCTAGCGCCGACCAATGGGAAGCCGCCTACCGACCCGGCGACGATTTTAAACCATTTTTATGTTAATGCAAGGCCTGGGCTAGCACTTGGACACGCTTGTGGACTTATTGTGTAGCGGTCGAGTATAGTACCTATATATGTATATATATATATATATATATATAAACCTATAAACATATAGCGACGTAGATGGTATACGGTCTCCGTGACGAGGAGCGTATATATTCATTGGTTGACGGTCAACATATAAATAGAGTATTGTTAAAATGTTAATGGGGGTGCGGAGGATTTTTCTATATATATTTTTGTATCTTCCTACTCTACTGTGGCTTGGTGGATTCTTGGATTCTTAAGGGGATGTACGTGTTACGGTATACGGTTATATTGCTCGTACTGTAAAACCAGCCTTGAAAGTTCTATGAGAGTTTAGCGTATACTTATGGTATCTATACGTATAGAGGGACTTGAGAGGGACTTTAAGAGGATGTCACTAACCCCAACGTTCAGCGGACGCAATTAACCGTAGAGTCGAGTAATTAAAATATTTTCACTCGACACCCTCTCATGGTGTGTACGAGTGTGCCGGCGTGTGGTATTTTGATTTGTATGCGTGTACCGTGGATACGAGCGTATGTGGAATATATGGCTACGATGCACCACCCACGCCTTCAGGCAACAAATCGGCCAGACGACTGCCGTTGTCCCGTTTACTACCCTTGCAATGCCACCGACTATCTACCCTTGATTAACGGAGATGTTAATGAACGTATATCGTACGGAGGGTGGTATCGTTTATCACGCGAGACACCCTGCTATAGTTTCGATAGGGGAGTAAAGTGCTGAGAGTGACAGAAGGTAAATTTACCACCCCTTGTTAAAGACTTTCTATTGAGAGGGCGATGCTGGGCATTTTCGAAAGACGGATGAATATTAAATGGCCGTTAAACCATCTGTAGACTCCGTCGGTAATTTCTTATGACTTTGTGGAGGCTAAAAATGGGATCGACTTACCGACGGTACACGCATCTTACGTTCGATGCAATAAATGAAGTTAATAAAGAACGCTAACAGTTAACGGTAGGGTATACGCGGTCGGTAATTTGGCACGTGACGATAACTTACCGACCGTACGCGGTTACCATAAGGATATAACATCCAACACGAAAACAACGAAGAAATCTAACTTACCGAGGCATGTCGAGTAGCTGCTTGGCTCGTTGCTTGTGCTGCGAGAGGGCGTAGAGGAGGGCCAGGACGGGCGTAAGGGTGGATCCCGTGGCCAAGTCACCAGGATTCACAGCCCCCACATCCGCGCCAAGAGCCCGGAGGGCACCCACGCACAGACTCACGTTTTCGACCTACGCAAACATGAAAAATTATGACGATAAGAGAAAAGAATTGCGTCATCTCGATACAAAAGAAAAAACGTCAGAAACAAAGGCTCAATAATTACAGAAAGTTGCGTTTCAGTATTACTCGTGTAACATTCGTTAACGAATACCCCAATAAGCCAATTGATATTTGCCATAATATTATCTCCGATTCTCCCTCCCACCCACATTCTCACCCTCACTCCCCTGCATGTTCGCGGTTCGTAGACTGGCGAGATCCTAATCGAAATTGACCCCTGCGAATTACGCACAGCTAATTAACCACGTATCTGTATACATACGTTCTATGTACAATCCAATTGGCGTATCCAAACACGTCGATATATACGTACGTCTATACACATATAAATGCACAGAAGGCCGAGGAAACATAACCTCCTCCATTTCCCCAAAGGGTTGTTACTGCTCCTGCCGCTGCTGCTGCTGGAGACACCCGCTCGGCCAACTAGTCCTGCGTCCCCGATAGATACACATAGAGTACGTTCCGCGAAACGTGACCGCCGTGACCACAAGCACGGCCGCGCTCGCACGCGTGCAACGCTTCTTTTGTTTCCATTGTCCTTAGCCTGGCCGGCATTCGCGGCTTGTGTCAGGCAGAAAACAAACCGTACACGTAGTACAGGGTGAGAGGAACGTGGATGACTCACCGAACAATACCTACGTAGGTAGGTGGGCTGCCAGCCAGGCATTATGGGGACGGTGGGACGCAGAAAAAAAAATAACCGTGCGAAACCCTCCCGTGATATACCCGCGGCACAGTGGAGCACGTACCACACGACGAAATACACCGTGGCTATGCAAATTTTTCATCTGTACTTTTACGAACCATCAAAATTCGTCCGACTCGTACCCCTAGTTCCAATAATCATACGACGCATAAAGCCTTCCGACCATCCTGCACGCCGGATCTTCGTAGATTCGGTATCCACGCGCGCTTGGATCATCGATAAAAAATGCGTGTACAAACGGAACCACTCGTTCGACGTCCCATGAAGTATTCTACGAAGCTGCGTATCATTGGTTGACAATGGTATCTTATGGTTACCAATGGCTTCCCCCATGCTCCAGAAGAGTGTATAGCGAGAGTGGTTGGGATGCGTGGACGCCAAGAGATGTCCTCTTATGGTATCGCCTTCGTCTTACGAGGTTCGCTTCTCTCGCTACAAAAAAGAAGTCGTAGCCGGCTTCTCTTTAGCTTTACTCTCTCTCTCTCTCTCTCGCTTACGCTCCAGTGTCACACGCGCGGATGCATGCGTGCATACACGGACTACAGTGCTGGGAGTTCTCTCTACCCCTCCATCCCTCCCTACTCCACTACCCCTCTCTCGGTGGACAGTACCATCAGGTAGGCAGCGAGCAGGTAGGTACGTGCCATAATGCGCGACAAAACTGTATGCACGGTAGAGTGAATAGATTGCGTAAGACGTGTATAAGAGGAGCGAGTGAGAGTGACGAAGAGGAAACAGTGTTTGTTATACTGAGTGAGAGGGAGAGAGAGAGAGATAGAAGAGGACGAAGGAGGAGCGAGATAAAAGTAGAAAATGAGAGGAACGATGAGAGAAAGGCGCGGGAGGCATCTCTCACCGTGAAGATATTATCTTCCTGCAGTGGAAGCCGGTTCCCCGGCACTTCGATACTTTGGAAATCGAACATCTTGCCGCGAGAAGAGATGCTGGGTCCAGGTACTTGATACGTGTGTATATATATATATATATGTATATCTGCATGTACGTATATATCACCGACAGAAGACCAGATCAGCTTCACCGAGATTTCATACTTGAAATACCACAGGGATACTGTTGACTGTCAATAGGGCATACACGTTGTTTATATACAACTTTGACAGTCGTGTCACGTGTTATAGTCGCTTCTTTTTCATTCGCTTTGCAATCTCACTGTCTATGCCCTATACACGTAGATAAGTATTTCTCATGGGATATACGTGCTAGTCATGCGTACTCGTTTCACTTTGGTATTGGGATACCTTGGCGAAATTGTCGTTTCATTGTACGTGTTATATAGGCGGACTATAGGTCTTTTCAAATTTAATTAGCTACGGTAGAATCCGTTTATCCTACTTCATGTTCCACGTGGTTATTACACGTATTATATGAGTGGCAACTGGGTCTGCTGATTCTGACAATCCCACCACCGTTAGTCACTCGAGGTAATGGCAAATCTCAACAGCTGTACCAGTACCAGTTCGGTACTGGTTCGAGATTCCGTCGAGTAATCGCGTGACAGTACTAAACCCAGCCCAGGGCTAATTTCATAAGGTCTCCAACGTACGGAATATGACAGTACAGATATCTGTAGCGAGTTTTGGAATTTCATAATGTATGCTGAAAATTGAACGTTACAAAAATTACACGTGCGTATACTGACAGACAGCACAGGCGTCCACTGTGGTGAAATGACCTTTTAATTCTTTTCGTTTTTTTTTTTTCACATAACCATGTATAATTCTCTTTGGTCTCGGTATCGTCAATTGGATAAGTAGGGAGGCTGCTCACGAGTGCCGTAGACTTGCCATGTGTGAATACACGGTACGAGAGGGTGTCAGGATGCTGAGACAAAGTCTTACGCACTGACGCAAATAAACGATCTTAACGAAGCGCTACTTATGCGCATTGCCCCTTTCATACCGTGGACTGTGTATACGTATACTATATATATTTCACTATCGAGCACTCGCGGTCCGAGGATGCTCGGATCATGTGGACGCCAATCGAGTTGAGCATATATGCACATAGTCGCGCATGCGACCACATGTGTATTCGCATCTTGGGAGTTAAGCGCCACTTTTTTTTTTATTGGCGGGAGAGAACGAGAAAGAAAGAGAGAGAGAGAAGTAATAAAAAAAAAGAAGCAAGGAAAAAGTGTATCTCGGTAAAAGTGCCTACTTCGACTTCATACAGGATATGCGAAGTGTAATACACTATACGTGTATACATGTGTATGCATACGCCTAACCGCCAGTACCCAGAACCCGTAGAACGGCGCAAGAATTATTTTTGGGGGCACGTGCCCAGCTTCCGGATGTTTCTTTTTTTTAATATACAGACTGCTTCATACCCAAAGTACAGTGGATAGAGAAGATCCGTGCTCGTGATATTTAATCCTACGGTGCTACCTGTGAGTTCTTTTTACTCTTTTTTTTTTAATTATCTATTTTTTCTATTTCTCACTATCTTGTCTACGTACACGCGCGACCTGGCCATGTGCTTCTGCCGGCGTCGTGATCGACGTGCGTCGCGGCGCTGGATCCCTGTCTAAGACGACGTCTAAATATATACCTTTCCTGGGCTGGGACTTCTGCGCTAAGTAAGTCTAAGCTTTGCCCGTCTACTTACGGTAGCTGGGACCCGGTCGGGCAGACTGCCGGAAACTCGCGGGGCCCCACGGGCGTAAACGAAAAGAATCCAGGTTTCCAAGTCGCGTGGATTGTCACGATCTTGGGACCCCTCGTTAATTCGGGACCTTGTAACTCGGCCAGGGCCTTAATTAATGGCTGAAGATACGGTGGGATTCGATTTACTGTGTAGGTACCGTACGAGGCACGAACGCGAGAACCTGCATGGATAATATATATATATATATATATATATATATATCATACCATTCTTACATACAGGGTCATTCATACGAGATACTCGATCTTGAATTAATTTAAATTTTCTATATTCTGTGCAAGAAACAAAGTCTGAGTTAATTACGTGAATTAAGAAGCCATCCCTTATTAGGAAGAAAGCTATAGAAAGATTATTTCCCGAGACAAAATCGTTTCGTGACACCTGTCAAAACTGCCACCTATCGATTCAGCCGAGTGACCCTCTACCCGAAGTACCACGTAAAAGACTCCCAGAGCATACACCATGACGTAACGCGAATTTGCCAATTTCGATAATCCCCAATTACCACCGGTACCGGCAACTGGTACCATAAATGGTACGAAAAGTACGATAGAATCATTGGCCCGGGGTTATCGCGAGCGACCGTAAGGAATGTAACGGTGATCGTACAATCTGTGCAAAAAGAGAGAACCAAAAAAGAAACAGCATAACATTGAAAAAAAAAAAAAAAAAAAAAAAAAGAGTACAAATGAGAAATAAGAAGAAAAAAAAAACAACCAAGACACATAATTACGCAGGCCGTGTATACAAGTCCTGGAAGAGGTTACGGCGCGTAAGCGGTACGAGGCTCACGGGCGAATTTGCAAGTATCGAAAATCGTTCGGGAAGTCAACTGGTACCAAAACGTTCGCAGGCTCGTCCGGTCGTTCGCCAAGAGTAACGGTGCGTCTACAACAAAGAGCGACGCGTCCTTTGTTGCCGATTAAGTAACAATTTCCTCAAATTTTTCCATCGTGCCTCCCCCCCCCACAGCCCCACAAACCGGAAAAGCATAAAAAAAGCATAAAAAAAAAACTATGCCAACAATGATTTTACACCCGAGGAAGGTCGCGCCACGTTGCGTAACCCAACAGCGTTTGCGCCGCGATCATCCAGCAGACGCCTTTCCATTGCCGCCGTAGTTTCCGTCGCTGACTCGTCGGTCGCCGATACAATTATTTCAGCCAATCGCGACAATTCGCGTTGACG